AAAAATAACTAAACCAAAAACTGTGGTAAAAAACTGAGGTATTTATTGAACCGCGGGCTAACTGTATTGTTGCATCCCTACTTTTTACTCTAAAACACTGTATAACAGGAATATCCTATAAAAATATTTAACATTAAATCTATAATATATATAAAAACCTCTAAAAAAAAATATAGCAGGTCTGCTATTCAGATTATACACTCTTTAACATATTTTGAAGACATGTGCTGCCTTATTCCACAGTTTATTTGAAATTCATGGATCACCATTTTTTGTTAAAGTGTAGCTACAGGCTTGTTGATACACATGCTGTGCATTAATAAAAGACTATGTGACCTGTGCTGGCAAAATGAGTCACAATGAGCTAATTTAAAAAAATTAGTTATTTTTATTGTTACATTCTCTACTAAGAGACCTTCAAAATGTATGATTTGTTGGAATCAGATGAAAAATGATTGAGTTGCACCTGCAAAGTCAATTTTGAGAAATATCAAGTTTTTTGAAGATTCTAAAGCAAAATCACAGAACAATGTTATATCTTATATAATATAATATAATTACTATATTAATAATAACAATATAGCTATTTTTATTTGATCTTTGTTATTATAAATAAAAACAGATGCACAAAAAAACAGTAGATCAAATCTAAGGAAACAATTAGTGCATTACCTTTTTCATTTTACATCTAAACAAAAGCATTCAAGTAAGAAAAAAATTTCAAATTTAAAAATCCCGTTAGTGTGTTCATTACAAATAAACTGATTACTGAAACAACAAAAGCAGTTCAATCAATAGCAGCCAGTGATTCCCTCTTTTCTTTTATTGTTAGATTAACATTAATGAGATGGAATATATATTAAGAGCTACTGTAATACACGGATCTAATATAATGTTACACATCAGATGTTTTTCCCAACAGTTCCCCAAACGTTCAATTAAGACATGTTCTCTGTATACTGTACTGTAGTTCTCTGTATATGTATCGGGATCGTGATACAGCGGATCGTGAACGAGCGGAGAAAAGGTACTCCTCTCAGAAAGCGTACAAATAAAGATCATTTTAGATGTTTAATTACTATTTGAAGCATTGGGATCGCTAGAAGCGGGCTTAATGAACTAATTTTTGTGAAAACCTCAAATCCGACTAAAATCTGAAATTTTCAACTGAAATAGTTCACTTTTTTTGGCATATAGTTCAAAATTAGCACGTGCGCATTCCGACTCATTTTGCCAGCACGGGTCACAGATCGGATAATTTTTCAGATGAGCAAAACAAATATGGTTCTTTATTATTTAAGTAACATTTATTATTTAAAGAACAATTTACTACTTTGATACCACAGTTGAGATTCACTCAATTCACGATGTGATATGATTCACGATACTGATTTCACAATAATAATAATTTCCTCACAATTTATTTTTTAACAAAACAAGATTTAAAACAGATTTAAAAAAAGGTGTCCTTTTGTTATTTCTCAGACCAAAAGGCTGCACATTACTTTGTGAAATTGAAAATATCGAACAATATACTAACAAATCCCAAATCAAAGAAATAAATAATACAAATAAAAGAAATTTCTCCATGCAAATAAACTAAGGTTTTGCCGGTGTATTTTAATCACGATCCAAACAAAGATGCTGCATACATGTTATTTAGATTGTAAAACTATGAAATTTGAAACAAAAACAAAATGGTCTGACTTTAGCTTTGTGATAAAAAATCTGAACGAAACAAAAACAGCAGAGGCTGAATGAGACGCAAATGTCCCTCTCTGACAGCAGGTGGCGCTTCAACAGCAGGTGTTTATAGGCTGCTGCCCCTTTAAGACCGAATGCACGGATCCAATATAATGATGCGAAAGAGTAATCAATTCTGTGTTCGTGCTCTGCCTGAAATGCCGCTCTGTATGTGCGCACTTTGAGCGTGTGCGTGCGAGCACCGAACTGAATTCTTCATGTGCAAGAGTGGTTTAAAACGCTTGAATGTTTAGATTCGTAAGACTTAGAAACACGTGTAAATGATAAACTATGATCAGTTTCACCCCTACAAGCGAGTGAACATCGAAGGGATTTTATCTCTGTTCTTTCATTGTTCAAGATAGCCCGTCGGGCAGTGATACATTTTGGTAGCCCGACTGGAAAACACAATAGCCCCGGGACGTCGGGCTAGCGATTTTGCGAGCCCTGAACTATATAACAACTGAAAGTCAAGCAGTTAGTCAGAACTGTGAAATGTGCCCCATGCTCCATCTAGCCTGAGATCTAGTATATCCCCTCCCGGTCGCAGTAAATGCTTCGCTCGACTTTTCAGAGATCATCTGCTGTTCCCTGTGGATGACCTCTGACCCACTTTCTGTACGATCTGAATTTCTGCGTAGTGAATTTTGAATATTGAATTTGATGTTCTTAATTTCTTCTTCATCTTGAAAACTTGAATCTGTATTTTTAAAAACTGGATAATTGCAGTCTAAGAATTCAGAACAAAAAATCCGCTGTTTGAAAATACATGTCTATTAAAAAAATGCCATAAATTCCGTTGTTAAATTTCAAATGTTCAATATTCAAGTTAAAAAATCAAATTCATAACTGTTAAATGCCACATAATATTCAGTTTTGTTAAATGACTCTTGTTAATAATTCAGATTTACACAATTCTAATAGTTTTGTCATATTATAAGCTCCATAAAGTTTGATATAATGACTGAAGTTGAAAATGGAGACTTTGTAACAAAGCACAAATCTTGTTGTGATTATTAGATGGCAGACGTGATACAAATAATGTTTCGATTAGTTTTGTTCAAGTATCAACAGAAAACAGCAAAGATAAAACGATCTTGGTTTATCAAAATAAAAGTGGATAAAAATGAGAAACCGATATTGTCAACCCAGCCCTAGCATCCATGCAGCTGATGTTTAGCTGTTGTAGCTTAGCCTTGATGTGTGCACGAAATAGACACTGCAGTCAAAACAGGTCACCAGAGAAAAACTAGTTAACCCTCTGAGGTCTTGGGTGTTTTGACATGTCCTGACATTTGTGCTTATTTCAGCTACTTATAACATACTATTGGCCAGCATGTATTTTTTTGTATTCCGCACAAATCGTGCTAAAATAATATTCAATTCAATTCACGTTTATTTGTATAGTGCTTTTCATGATACAAATCATTGCAAAGTAGCTTTACAGTAAATGAAAGTTTCGACATTATATTTAGTAATAGCAAAATTACAGAGATGCAAAACAGCGCTGTGACTGTGCTTGGAATTATTTTTGTTGGCGAAATAGAGCAAAAACAGGCAATATAGTGTCTAAAACATAAGTCTCTTAATATTAACTTATTTTTTTATTGAAGAGTTGTATAAAATCAATATCACGTTTGTAATCATGCTGATTTTTGAAGGAAACAGCACTCTTCCTGTGATATTGATTAACTATATCAGGGACAGCCAACCCCTGAACGATATGAAATGATGTAAAAGCCCCATATCTTGAATTTTGTGATGCATTTGAATAGACTGAATCATGCCGTGATTTTGTTTGGATTTTGCAATATAGTCGATAATGTCAAACCGCACATCGTAAAACAACAATTACGAAATGTGTAGATTCGGTGGTGAACGCTGTAACCTGCAAACTCCGTCCCTCAGGCGTGAGGTAGCCTGAAAACAATGTGAGAAAACTCAAAAGATTTTAATCTATTTCGTTTTTATTGAAGATTAAAATAATGGGGGTTTTGATTTTGTATTTTATTTAAAACACAGTACAATTAAAATGTATACAATGCAGGTCAAAGACACATTATTGAGCACATTGATCTAACCACAGAGACGTGAATAGACTTTGTGTCATTCCTGAAAACGGATTCTGTTCAACAAGTGAAACAAGTAAACCATATCAGATATTTTGTTATGAAGTTGATTTAAAATTCTTAAGTTTTAAGAAGTTAAGTTAACCCTTTAGGCGCCAGGGTTTTTTTGGAAAAATGCTGGATTTTGACATCAAGGTTTCAAAAGCTTGTGGCTTGAAAGGGCTTAAAGATAGAGATCTAATGTAAATTAGAAAAATGTTGGGCATGACCGAAAGTTTATGTGGGGTGTAAATATACGTACACACTGCACTTAATACAATAATCTATCTGCTACCACTGGATACCATCCAGTGCACATCCATGACATTTTTGCTTATCCAGTTCCTGTATAATCTGCTGCACCTTCACATATTTTTGTGAGTATATTTGTGTACATAATGCAGAATATGTACATTCTGTGTATAATGTGTATTGCTAACTGTAAGAATGTCTAATAGTACACTTTGTACTGAGTATATGTATGCGTATATTGCACATTGTCATTTATATAAGTCTGTAAATATGTCTATATGTAAATTATTTCTGCACTGTCTGGAGCACGCTCCCAAGAATTTCACTCACCAAGGCACATGTGCTGTGGTGATGTGACAATAAAAGTGATTTGATTCGATTTTTTAAAAGTAATCTTAACGTCAAGATATACATATAAACCATATAGTTTTAATCATTTAAACGAGCCTTTGAAATTAAGTCAATTTTTTTCACAGCACTAAATGTGGTCGTGTTTGTGAAGTACAGCTCACTTATTTGATTTTATGGTGGAATTTGTTAATTTTCGTGTTTAATTCTATGCACTGTGTCTTTATTCCAGCGTAAGTGGCGCAGCAAAAATAGACTTGGTGCCGAAACGATCGCGACACTGCCGCTTCTGCTCTGCTCCTGGTACGCGCTGCCGCGCCGCCTCTGCGTGCGGTGTGAATACTCTGATCTGTTAACATGGGCGCCGAAAAAAATATGCGCTGCTTACGCGTGCGGTGTGAAACTGGCGTCAGTTTGCAGTCAGTTGTAGTCTGAGCGGTGTGTTCAAGTGCAGCTTTTTGGTCCAGACCCTGTCGAGATGAGGCAACAACAACGTCAGCTTTTGTCGCTGTTAGTTCTTTGAAGTCGGCTTGGTGTGTCCCGCCTTAAATGCTTTTATGTTGGTTTTCACATCTTTTGCTTTGTGGCTTTAAACTGCAGTTAACTTGTATTTGTCTTTTTTTTTTTTTTGCTTTAGACCTGCTGTTGCTGAAAGAGGAGAATCAAGATCCGAATGAAATTGAACAGACAGATCAGTATGAGAAACACCATGATGTCATAACTGGTGAAATGGCCACACAGCCTAAAACGACTTCCAAACGAAAAAGAGCTCAGAAAACCAAATCTAACAGCCATTTCACCTGCCGTCATTGTGGGAGGAGTTTCTGTGAAAAACAAAAACTTCAAATGCACGTGGAAGTTCACAATAAAGAGAGGCCATTCCCCTGCCAAGAGTGTGGAAAGAGCTTCACTCAACAAGGAGCCCTTAAAAGTCACATGAGAACTCACTCAGGAGAGAGGCCATTCACTTGCCAGCAGTGTGGAAATGGTTTCACTCAAAAAGCACACCTTAAAAGTCACATGAGAACTCACTCAGGAGAGAGGCCATTCACCTGCCAGCAGTGTGGAAACAGTTTTACTCAACAAGGAGCCCTTAATAATCACATGAGAGCTCACTCTGGAGAGAGGCCATTCCCCTGCCAACAGTGTGGAAAGAGTTTTACTCAACAAGGAGCCCTTAATAATCACATGAAAACTCACTCAGGAGAGAAGCCTTACACCTGCCAGCAGTGTGGGAAGAGTTTCACTCAAAAAGCAAACCTTCAAAGTCACATGAGAACTCACTCAGGAGAGAAGCCTTACACTTGCCGTCAGTGTGGAAAGAGTTTCACACATTTATACTCCCTTCATTTCCACATGAGCGTTCACACTGGAGAGAAGCCTTATACATGCGAACAGTGTGGAAAGAGTTTCCCTACAAAACAAAGCCTTAAAGTCCACATGAGAGTTCACACTGGAGAGAAGCCTTACTCCTGCGAGTATTGTGGGAAGAGTTTCACACATGTATACACCCGTAATTACCACATGAGAATTCACACTGGAAAGCAGCTGTTCACATGTGATCGTTGTGGAAAGAACCTCGCAACAGAATATAGCCTTCAGTGTCACAAGATTAGGCACACTGGAAAGAAACCCTTCAAATGTGATCAGTGTGGAAGGGGTTTTGTACGAAAGATAAGCCTTAATTACCACATGAAGACTCATTCAGCAGAGAAATGCTGTAAATGTGCTCAGTGTGGAAAGAGTTTCAGTCATAAAGCTAGCCTCAGTGCTCACATTAATAAACACAGGAAGCCTGTGGGAAGAGCATCTCACAAATAGAAAATCTTAATATTCACATGAAATGTGTGGAATTATGTGGAGAAACCCACATGAGATTTCACTCTATTCTATTTTATACTCTAACTATTTCATATGCCATCATTGTGCGAAGTGTTTCACAGTCAAAGGAAACCCGAAGACTCATATAGGAGTTCACGCTGGAGAGAGACCTTTCAAGATCATTCTGGAAATAAAGTGTGACTGTGACGAGGTTTACCATTTCAAAAATCGGCAACATATTAATTCTGGAGGAAGCCATGAAGCACCTTCATAGCTATGTCTTTTATTTGTATTCACTTTTTAATACTTGTCTTGGGGCTTTTTTATATATATATATATATATATATATGATCTCCTGTATCCACACCTAATGTTCCAGATATAAATACAAATATTACAGTAGACGCACTCTAATTTCGATTGTATGGAGACATTGTGCCATTCCGATTACTGGTAACTTGGAATAAAAATATTATATTTCTGTTTTCATGCAAAATGCCACAATGTAACTAAATGATTCTAAATAAAATGGCGAACTGCATGAAGTAATTAACATTGCATTGAACTATTTGTGACGTCCCATGACCTATATACAGTGGGTACGGAAAGTATTCAGACCCCCTTAAATTTTTCACTCTGTGTTATATTGCAGCCATTTGCTAAAATCATTTAAGTTAATAGTGGGAGTGTCTCTTTTGTGCATATGCTCTGTTTGTGTTGTTTTGCTTTTCTCTCTCTCAAACGCTGATGAGGACTAACAGGTGGAGTTCAATTAGTTGATGATTCTGCTGATGACTGATTGGCCCACTAGAGGAAATGTTTGAAGTTAAAAGGCAGAGCTGAGATGCTTAGAGCAGGAGTCCCTGTTGCTGACTTCTCTTGTGTTTGTGGTTCACTTGTTGTTGACAAAAATGTGTTAAACGATCTTTAATCCTCTTTTGGGAGGGTTTCTTTATTTGTTCAGAACAAGATTTATTTAATGTAAGTTTCTTTTTTTTTTTTTTCTTTTTTTTTTTGGTGGGAAGCTGTAGGGAGGTGGTTGCCACTTATTTTGACTACACTTTTTCTCCTGTTTAAGGAAAGCAAGGGAGTTAAAGTATTATTTTGTATTTTTTTTCTCTTTTATTTGTTAGATTAGGTAGATTGTTGTTGGGCGTTAGTATGTTCTGTTCACTATGTTGGCCTTGACCCCTCCTGAAGTTCTGTTTGCTTGTTCAATAAATTTTATTCTGTTTTGTATTGATTATGGTGTTGCGTGTGAGTCGGTAGAAGGGGAAAGCTCCCTCCATTTCTCCACCAGTTTCTTTATTACTCTTTCCCATCCCTACCTTCATAGCCATGTCTTTTATTTGTATTCTTCACTTTTTAATACTTGTCTTGAGGCTTTATATAAATATATATAATGATCTTCTGTATCCACACTTAAATGTATCAAATATTACAGTAGACGCACTCTAATTTTGATTGTATGGCGACTTTGTGCCATTCTGTTTACTTGTAACTTGGAATCAAAATATTAAATTTCTGTTCTACTTCAAAATGCCACAATGTAACAATGATTCTAAATAAAATGGAGAACTGCATGAAGTAATTAACATTGCATTGAACTATTTGATGCATCTTTAAGTCAAGTCAAGTCACCTTTATTTATATAGCGCTTTTAACAATACAGATTGTGTCAAAGCAACTGAACAGAATTAATTAGGAAAATAGTGTGTCAATAATGCAAAAGGACAATAGTAAACACTAATTTTTCAGTTAAAGACAGTTCATCACTCAATTCAGTGATGTCATCATCCAGCTCAGTTCAGTTTAAATAGTATCTTTGCAATCATTTGCAATCAAGTCAACGATATCGCTGGAAATGAAGTGTCCCCAACTAAGCAAGCCATAGGTGACAGCGGCAAGGAACCAAAACTCCATCGGTGACGGAATGGAGAAAAAACCTTGGGAGAAACCAGGCTCAGTCGGGGGGCCAGTTCTCCTCTGACCAGACGAACCAGCAGTTCAAGAGAGAAACAGACTAATATTAGCGTAGATGCTATTCTTCTAGTGATGTACCAAGTACATTGGGTGTTATGAGAAGTGTTCCCAGTTCTGGTTGACTTAATGCAGCCTAAAAATCCTTTAACGGATTTGAATATTAGAAGTGTATTAGTGTGTTATGTGTAAGCCAGGTTAAAGAGATGGGTCTTTAATCTAGATTTAAACTGCAAGAGTGTGTCTGCCTCCCGAACAATGTTAGGTAGGTTATTCCAGAGTTTGGG